TATAATGATATTATATGTCATAGTTATAGTACATTATTATTATACAGTATTATAACAATACTAATATTAATTATGTTGATGATATTTCATAATAAATGCTAATAATAATAATTAAATATGAATATTTGTAACTATGAGGTCGTGACTGTCAGATCGGTCCAAATTTAATCTGGGCTGATCTAACAGTCAGGACTTCATTTCGTATTTTAATTTTAATATGTTGTCTACAAATCCAAATCACAATAAATTTTACGTGTTTATTCTTTTCATAAAGACGCCTAATAAAAATATTTAAAAAATAATTTGCAATATATAAATTGACTAAAATACCCTTGAAAAGTTTCAAGGGTATGTTGGTCAATTTTATTTTCACGAAATATTTTTTTGATATTTTTATTGGATTCTTCAATTTTTAAAGAACACACACCCAAAATTTCAAGTAATTTGGATTTATAAGAAAATTAAAATTCAAATGCAAAATGCAATCGTGATCATTGAATCAGCCCATATTGTATCTGCGTCGTTGGGCTCATATATAGTTGTAGGCTAGTGGGCCTATGCCATCAATTCCCTATATATATAATCACCAATGACACCTCTAAGTCTAAATGGAGCATTTTGTTTCCAAAAACAAATCCAATGAGGAGATGAACAAGTACTCACCGAAACAACGCAACCATATAATGCAGGAACATCAGTAATAAACATTACGCAGATACAAACATACTCCTAATTCTACTCATTACATAAGTCCATAAAATAATGAAAGTTTTATTTCACAAAAAGAAGAAAATTGAAATTTGAATAAATAAGTGTATCCAAGTAAATCTAAACTACTCTTAAATGCCTACAGGCCCTACACTAACTCAAGATACGTTAATTTCTAGATTAAGACAGTGTTCATTGACAATCCACTTTTTATCTCACTAAAAACGTTACATCAAGACGAGCGACTCCTAAAACACGAAAGTTCAGGTTGGATGTTGAGAGAGACTCACCTCGGAGAATGTTAAAGATGCAGTTCTTTGCTTTTTACGACTGGCAAAAATAAGAGCCGAGACAGCTTCGCTAGAGTTTGTTGCCAAAGGCATTGCGATGAAGGATATAAAGAATGAAGGAATACTTGTTGCAGTAGAAAAATTGCTAACAGCATCTACAAGAGGATCCGCAAAAACAGCTGCAATAACAGTCCCACAAAGTAACAAAAACACTGCTTTCAAGCAAACTGTCCGGGCATTTTCAATACCCTCTACAATCTCATCACTCTCATTATCCAGTCGGTCAAGCTCTTCCTTTGTTTTCTACATAAGAACCATGCACATGGAATATTTTAAGTGACCATCATATGAGTAAGAATGAATAAAGCATATTAATGTGTAACATACCAAATGAAAGTCTGATGTGAACTTTGATGAGTAATGACCAGGATGATCAACAACATTCTTGGCCTCATAAAGCCATTTCGTTATTCCCCTGACAAACTCAGGAAGGTCAATATTACTATCATAAGAGATATCAAAATCAGCCATAACGTTTGCGACATCAACTTCCTCATCCAAATTTATGTTCTCTAATTGAATCCCGATGATGAAAGCCTGAAGTTCACTACAAGATATTTTTCCATTTTTATCCTGATCAATAACATGAAAGAGTCTGCAATCACACAACAATCACACAATAATTAGACACAAGAGTAAAAGACTACCGTCACATATGCGAAGCCATATGAATTTCACAAGCAAAACTAACTTATGAATAGCAGCAATATTTGGTTGCCCATCAGCATCAAAGAGCCTTCCAAGGGCATGTTTCTGCAAAGACTTCAGAATTCCTGATATTATATGTTTATGTTTTGCATATGCAAACCTTCGCTTTTGTATCCAAGGCTCAAAAACCTGTATAAACAGATCAGCAGAAAATAAGCTTTTATATATGTTTCTACCTAAAGCTGAGATATTATGCAAACTAAGAAGCCAATTAGCAAAATACATAACAGACTAACAAAGTTACACGCACGTACCCAGACACACGCACATATATCATGGAATAGTTACCCAAATCCAGTACACTCTCACTTCGCCACCCCTCTGAAAACCAGTGTTAAAAAAGAAGGCAAGTCCGAGTCATTGTAGTAACTCAGGCAAGTTAGCTCAAATCAATGAAATTCTGACAGACTCCTCGAGTCCATAGGAACTCGCTACGTCTGATAATCTAATAAATTAAAACATGCGGTAAAAAATCAAATCACCTTTCTTCCCATTTTTCTTCCACCAAAAGTCCATTTGACTTAAAATTTGAGATTCCCGCATATTGCATCTTCTAGTTATCACATTCAAGAGAAAACTAAAATATCTGATTTCTGAGGTTTTCATTTTCAAACTAGGGTTTCGCAGAAGTTCAAAAACTTGCAATTTCTTTGCAACCCTATGTCTTGGCTGAAGTTTCTTCCTTGAGCCTATTTCTGAGTTCTCACCAAATCAAAGGCCTAATTCCCACAAAAAACCACTCAAAAATCTCAAATTTGTGTGACTTTAAACATTGAAACACTATTTGGCCAAAAATTTCAAGAGGTTGGATCAACTATATCTGAACTCAAATCCCAAATCTAGTTTTGGGGGGTTTCAGTTTGGGGTATTTGAGATTGCAAGCATTGACTCGAACTAGGCATAAAGATTTGAGGATTAGCTTCAAAACTTTGGATAAACGAAGTTGTCTTATTTTCTCAATCTAAATTCATATAAAAGACTTTTTCTACAACTACAAATAGATCTAGTTATATTTTTAGTTAATATTGTATTTTTGTTAAATTCTCTCCAAAAACATAGATTCACTTTCTCATTTACATCTATAGAGGATACCTTTTACATGTCTATAGCTAATTTTTCTTTTTTATAATATTGGTTTTTTTTCCTTTTCTATTTGGTGGCGCTGATAGGATGTTTCTGCTTGTTCTTTTACGCCTCTAGGATGCTTAGAATGTTTTGGTGGATCCTGTAATAAAATTGAGTAAATCAACTTGTCTTAATATTTTGATGCACAAAAAGATATATCTATAGATGTACCTTTCTGTGAGAGATATTTCTATGGATGTAATAACCTAATATTGCCAATGGCCATTTTTTATTTTTTTCAACTTAATGATGCTAATGAGTTGGTCTAAGAAGGGTGATGACCTTAAACTTTCCCTTAACCCATCCAATGCCCAGGTAAAGGGGCATGATTGTGTTAGGTAGGCAGCCATCATAAAATTTTACTAAAGCTCATCATGAATCCTGATAAACGAAAAGGCTAAAATGACGATGATTAATGCTGCAAATGGGATTTCTTTCGATAATTTTTAATGTGTCTAGTAGGCTTAGAATAGTTCTAATATAAATTTTCCTCTAGAGAAACTCCATACTTTAACCTTTTTTTTTTTCAAATTTTAATGCATATGAAAATATTTTAGTTGGGTTTCTATGCCTTTAGCATGCTTGCTTTTGTAGGCTTAGGAGATGCCAATTTTTGGGGTGTGTGTGTGTGTGTGTGTGTGGTGTGTGGGGGAGGGGGGGGGAGGGGTAGGAAGGATCCAACACGACAACATGTGGCACAGCTGGATCAGGGCACGGTTGGGTGAAGTGCACATATTGTGGAAGGAGATGTCAAACAATATTAATTGCCTAAACAACACCTGATCAAATTTCGGGTAATGTAGTCCCTTGTGGAAGTGTGCAAAAAGCGAAGTAATAGCTATCCAGGCAGTAAAGCGAAAGGAGGTCCAAAGATAAAGGCTGACCAAGGAGATGGGGAGAAAGTATTATGCATCACTTTAGAAGGAAGAGGATGAGATATTTGCGGCCTAACTTGAGCTTACAAAGAGGGCAAATCTAAAAAACATGTATTCTAGATATCAAGCCAGCATGGGTGAGGGGTCCTCAGAAGTTGGAACCAATCATTCAATATCTCCCGAACTCGTAGTACCTGGCAAGGGGGGGTATGCGCCAGGAATCCCAAGACTCTTCAGGTCTTCCATCTTTGTTGAGAAGGAAAGATCTACTAAGATTTCTCAACCCCAACTTATGTAGCTTGATATAAGCACTCACAACCTACTAAGCCTACTCAAGGTCGAATTAACCCCCTTCTTCGTGGGCCTGAAGCAGTGTAGAGTACATTAAGTCCACATGGGAGAAGGCAAACAAGAAGAAAATATAGAAGGTAAGAGAAAGCTTGTTTTAGGGTATCGCAATCTGATAAAATGCAGCGAATAGCGAATATCATTAGCGGTGGCAATGGGCCATGCGGCCTAGCCCTGCCTGGCCCTTAAAGAGTAGGGTTTGGGTCACAAACTGTGGCTCGAGGGCCGGCTAGAGCCAGCCGGTTGCCGACCCTCTTTTTTTCTTTTATTTTTGCTTCATTTGTTTTTAGCCCGGCCCAGCCCTAATAGGGCCAGGGCTAGGCTTAGGTCAGCCCTATGGGAAAAAGGGTCAAGTCAAGGCCACTACCAAGGTTGGCCCGGCCAATTGCCACCCCTAAACATAATCAATTGAATATGCACTATAACAAACGCAGGGCCATGATTCAAGGGCCAACTGCACATGAGCTTCCAAGCCCTTGCTTAGGTGAGGTGGTGGCTCAGGTTGATCTACTTCCTGATGAGCATAAGGCCATGTGGCGAATGACTAGGTCTCGATTATATCAAATGGTTGGAAGGATGGGAAAGTTTTTTTTTTTTATTAAGTGAAAGGATGGGAAAGTTAGACTACTATTTATCTTTTGGTGTATTGGAAGCTATGTTTGTTGCGTTTATTTAAGATGCTTGATAATGTAGTGGAAGAGGTTGTAGGGGAGAATGTAGTTTCAAGTGGTTACATATAATGCAAAGAACTACTTGATGTAGAAATATATACCTCTTTTGGTTTTAAAATTTTCTTATTAAATTTAGGGATATATTTATTTCTTAGGGTTTTCAAGTTTTTTAAGGGATTCAAGTATTTTTTATTATTTTAAGGATTTTACAATTGTTTAATAGTAGTTAGAACGCTTATGGAAGTATTTGTTTTATCAGGGATAAAACTGTCATTATGAATTTTGTTTTAATTAGGACTTGTATTTCAATTAGAATTAGGATTTCTTGGGCTCTAAGTCTTTTATTATAAATAGGGGTCTATATAGGGGATTTAGAATGGAGATTTGAGTTATGGTTTAGAAATATTGTTTTCTTGAATTCGTTTGAATTCTGTAGACACATGGAAGCTAGGTTTATTAGCTTCCTTTAATTTTCTAACCAATGGATTATTTGATTTTCTTCCCTGTGAAATTCTTTCTACATCAATGGTATTAGAGCAGAGGATTTGTGATCAACAAGGGCAAAAATTTTCAATCAAGGCTAGCAGTTGTGATTTCGGTTAATCGATGGTAGTAATAAGGGGTTAAGGAAGAGGAGCTCTCATAGATCTACTGTGCGCACAGATGAAAAGATTGAACATCTCAAAAGGCGGCTTTGGCAGCTTGCACAACAACTCGTGGCCATCACTCATGGGCTAGACAGTTATCTTTTCCTTAAAGAAGATGTGGAGAGTACATCCCTCTTCACTATCGTGCTTCGCATGAGGAGATGAGTGAAAAGGAAAGTAATAACCTAGATGTGGGGGGCATCACTCTAGGGTTTTCGATTTGAAGGTGGACATTTGACAAGCATAATTTGACTAACAACCTTGGGAGAGGTAATCTCGTTGCTTGTGAGTACAATTTGGTTCATGATAGTGAGGAGGCCGACCATGAAGAAGAATCTTTATTTTCATCAAATTGTTTCCAAAATCAGCAGGTTGTAGATTGGTATTCGCCACCAATCTTTGGCGTATGCTCAAATAAAGATAACCTCATAGGAAAGCCGATCTACGATGATGAACAAGATCTCGTGGTTGACCTGATCTTTGACGGAAAAAAAAGATGAAGGGCTTTCAAGGAGAATCTTGGTGAAGTTCTTCGTTTAACCATTGAATCCAGTGACAATCTCGAAGATGCTCCCTTTGATCTGTTCTAGGGCTGAGCCAAGACTATTTTAGTAGGGTTTTATGGCTGAATTTTTCAATTTCAGCAACTTTATGTGACTGAACTGAGCATACATTCATCAATATATAATGACCCTTTCTACGAGGGTTTCTCAATAAGTGTTTATGAATGTGCCCATTGATTTCAAAGCCCTAGTCTCAACGCATCATCCTCGTTTAAGTTAGGCTAATAGCCATAGGTCCAAGATTCGAAGAATAATGTTCAGGGGAAGAAGGTTGTGGCCATAGTTGTTGGAGATGCCTAAGATTCTGAATCGTTTTAGGGATCGGAATTGTGAAATCGTGTTTGGATAGAGGATTCATGTTTTCATAATCAACATCTGTACAAGAGGAATTATGGGAAACATGATTCCCACTTTATAGGAATCAAGATTCGACCCAAATGGATTCGAGATCCCTACATATACGGAATTGAGATTCTGTTCTCTTTGGAATAGAGTTTATGACCTATTTGGAATCGACTCTCATGAAATCAAGATTCTTTCATATATGGAATCTAAGTTCTAATATCTTTGGAATTGAGTTTTTGATTTGATGCTTCGCATAGGTTCTGAATTGTTTATTTTTGTAGTTAATATGTATATATTTGTATGTGGAATCCAGATTCAACAAATTTAAAATCGCGATCAACAATTACATGATCGATAATCAATAAATGTCAGAAAAGATATAAAGTGTTGGAATCGAGATTCCTAAAATAAGGAATTGAGATTTCTGACTTCATGAAAATGGATTCCATGAAGATTCCTTGTTAGAATCATAGAATCGGGATTCCGAATCAGAATCGCGACCTTGCATGGGAGATTCCGATAACTATTGTTGTGGCTCTAACCCAAGATTCAGTT